CTTTTCAAATGATGGCATGCTGGTCTCCTGGGTGCTGAGCCAGTGCCATGCCAGAAATACTCAAGGCCTTATAATGAATGTAAGGGGGGGCATCACTTCACTACTCTTCTGTGTTTTCCTGGGCCAAAACAAAGCTACACAAGTATTTAGTTTTTCCTGGAGCAATCTGTGTCAAATAAATATGCAATTTTTTTTTCTTGGGGGGGGCGAAGAGGGGGATGTTCAGCACACACTGTAATTAAAAAATATATAGTTTTCCCTTGAATGTGAATCTAAATGTTATTTGAAATCAAGGAAGGACATATGTGTGCAGAGGTGAAACCTCTCATTAAACAACTCACATACATACATTAAAAAAACCAGAAAACCTTCAGGTGCAGCTGACCTACCTTAGTAGAGGCAAGAACCTCACCATTTTTTCCACTGTAGTCACTGCCTTAATAAAGAGAGATTACCTTTACTGGTAATCTCTACGTTTTCTGGATCCTTAGTCAACCACAGCTGCAGCAAAAATGAATTGTAATTTGAACAGTTAAATTAATTAATAATAATAAATTAATTAATTAATAATTAAGTTAATAATTGTTTGTTGGTTTGTTAGTTTGTTTTAAAAAGATAATACACATTTTACTTTCAGGTAGAATAATTATTTCTGGAGTTGTCTTCATAAACCTTGGACTTCTAACTACTATTGTTGGCAACAATAAACCATATTTCTCTGACACCTTCCAGGAGAACAATTCCACTGTTCAAGTAGTGCTTGTCAGGGAACTCTTCACCTCATGGAGGAAGAGTCACAAATGGGCAAATTAGGACATCTACACTGATTTTCCAGTTTTTCTTACCCACAGGCAAAACTGTCACCTTCATTTTTAGTCTGCTTCAGTAGTTTATAGGTGGCAAAGGCTGAAAACTGTGCGCAACTCTTCATTCAGCTAAAAAATCCACTTAATGAAATCCATGGGTTTGCATGAATAAATGCCACATCAAAAACAGCGTTCGCAGAATGGAGTTTGAAGAACTGACCCAATTTGTCACACGCCCTGAAACCTCACTGACTCCTGCCTCTCTCAGCACAGTGCCTGCTCACCTGCTGATGGAGCTGGCTGAATTTGCTGGCCCAGCATACAGCCATCACCCCGGACACATGTGCAGCCCCAGCCGCGTCTGCAGTGGCAGCAGCTCTCGCAGGGCTCTGCCAGCGAAGGGCAGCCTCCCCACACACACACACAGAGGCTGAAGGACCTCTCCACTAGTATTATTTCCATTCCCCATCCCCTGCTTCCCCCAGTAACCACGGAAAAAAGTTGTCAAGCTGTTGTGGTGTGTTTCACATGCTTTAGCCCGGTTACGTTGTAAATTGGTTTGTTCCATGTACCCCTTTGTTTGTAGTGGTTCTGCCCTGGCTCTCTCTCCCCTCGCTCGCCCCATCAGTCCAGTTTTCCCTCCCCGTTCCCATTAGAAACCCAGGCATCTGTTCCTTAGTCCCTCCCTGGTGCCCTGTCCGTCACTCAGTGACCCATCCTTTTCCTCTAGAATCTTCCAGCCAGGGCATCGAGTGATTGGTTCGGGAGCCAGGGCCCCTCCCCAGGCTTTTCCCTGTTGGTTGCTCCACTGCGTCCGTCACCCTCTCCCCACTCCCACCCTCTCGCTGATTAGTTGAAGAGCAGACTCCATGTCTGTATCTTCTCCTTAAAAGTCAGTGTCAGATATCAGTTTGGGGTGTTCAGCTGTCAGTTTGTCTGGAGGCAATAAATTAGGATTACGCTACCACGTCTCTTTTCCTCCTGCTGGGGAGCAGCCCTTTCTCTGCAGATCCTCGTCCCTCAAGGCAAAAGCCGTAGGTGCCTTCCTGACTGGGGCAGGGAACGGGAGAGTGTCCCAGTGCTGCTGGTGGTGCTGGCCACAGCTGGCAGGGACATCCCAAAGGGGCAATCGCTTTCACCTTGGAGGCCAGCTGCTGCTGCATCAAGCCAGTGGGGCAGAGTGATGGAGATCAGTGAACTGACTCTCACAGTCCGTGTTTGTACCAGCAGCAAGGAACCAGATGAGATATTTCTGATTTGAGGAACCAGAGATACAAAATTCAGATCTGATTTCTTTCCAATATTGAGTATAAAATTAGGAACTGCACAAAGCTATTGAAAAGGGCTTCAGTGGTGAAAGACTGTTGTAAAAATTGCTTTCCTACAGAATGAACACTCTCTGTCTCTGTGTCCTGCTGTCCTGCAAACTGTTTTCCCCCAAGTTTATGCTCCATAATGAACTTCTCAGTGCCAGCTTAATGGCCTGTTTTACATTGAAAGGGTCCTCAATTTAATAAGGGGAGCATTGCAAAACAAGGCACTACAAATAGAAGGAAAAGCACAACGCCACCTTACAGTCAATCAGGGTTCGCAGTGCAGGTTCATCACGTCAAGGCTCACGCTGCACTTCAAATTGCTACAGTTTCCACCCATCTTTCTAGAAAAGATGATTCCATGGTAGCGTAACATAACATATTTACTGTTTTCAAGCTGCTTGCTTATTATAGAGACTGGATGCCTTGTAGAATCATCACAAAAATTTTCCTTCCAAAGAACAGAATGTATTACTCTGCTTCCTGCCTGGCTGATCTGTGATGAAAAACAGACAGTATTTTTTCATTTGTCAAATTAAACTAAACTTCTCTCCCCACAAACAAAACACTTTTCCGGAATGGCTTGGTTGATCGCTGTCCTTAACACATCTCTGTGGGAAAGGGTAATTATCCAGCCGCTAACTCACTGATGTCCTGCCCACAGCTACTCATTCCTTCTGCCTCTTCCTTGTGCCTTAAATGCCACCTTAGCATCATTGCCTTGACTTAACCACTCCTTGTCTCTCTCCCTGTGCTTTCCCTGTCTCCATGCACTCGTACCACTATAACTAGGAACCTAGAAAGGGCTGGAAAGATAGACTCAGAATGTTCAACTGTAGGACATTAAATATTTAAATTATTTTCAAATTAGGTGCATAGTCTAGCACTTCAAAGCTCAGAATGGTGCATGCATTTTTTTTAAAGGTAATGACTTTAATATGTTGAAAGAGAGGCTTTGTTCTCTGCTGTCAAAAATAAAAAAAAAAGAAAAAAAAAAAAAAAAAAAAAAGAAAAAAAAAGAAGTTAAAAAGGAAAAAGGGAAAAACAGAAAGGTGAAAAGGTAAAACAAAATAAAAAACTAACAGCCCACCAACCTTCCCTGCTCTGTTCAGAGCTGCCTGAGTTAATAATTTTCTGTTCCTTCTGTGGTCATCAACAGGAAAATTGAAGGGAAGGAAATCTAATGGGCAAGCTTTAGATTTTAAATTAACACAACCTTCCTGGGAAGGAGCACTTAAGAAAAAAAAAAAAAAAAAAAAAAAGAGGCAAAATAACCATAAGCTCTTGCAGATAGTTATGATGCAAGAGAACTACTGGAGAAAAAGGATTAATCTATGCCTGGACATGCAGTTGCATTTATTCAATATGATTAAGCATAAGTCCATGATTAAACACTTTCCTGAATTCTAGACAGTAAATGCAATTCTGCAGAATCCTGAGCACTCTTCCACTAGCATGAACATGTCCATGAAGCTTTCAAATAAAATTCCCTATTTTCATTATTCTTCTAAGCATCATACAGATAGTAGCATATTGTTCAGAGTCAGTGCTTTCTTAAACTGAGCTGCATCTTTATTAATTTAAAGAGTCAATTTCAATTAATTTAAAGAGTCAATAATGCATTACTTCAAGAAAAGTCAATAAAAATACTATATCAGCAAACACATGAGTTAATGCAGGTGTATCTGAAGATCTTGAAATAGTCTCCTTTTATATGATCTATATCTTTCACTAGGACACAATATCTATGGTCAAGTTTAATCTCAGGTGCAGGTGGCTGGGTGAAGAGGGAGGGAAAGGCAGCAATTCTCCATCTCCCTGACACCACCCAAGCCCCTTGGGGCACCAGCTGAGGTGTATGGCAGCAAGGTACCTGTTCCACCTTCCTGCCATCTACCTAGTGACTTCAAGAGGAGAAGTTGGCATATTCATTTAAAAGCAAACAAATTGTAGTAAAGCCCAACAAATCACAGAACTGGTCAGTGCAGAACAGCATTTTCTAGCAGATAATCAAGACGTGATTCACCTGACAGAAAGCAGGCATTTGCATCTGATCATTGTCACTGGCTGGCTGAGTGGTCAGGAAGAGAAAGAGAAGGAGGAGGAAGAGGAGGATGACAAGAAAAGCATTTCTGTGCTGTAGTTCTTATAAAATGCAGAACTGGGGTAGGTCAGCTCAACAGCATTTTCAAGGTGACTTTTTTCCCTGCCAACTGCAAAAACCATGTCAAGGAGGCATGACCAGAGGAGGTTTCTTCTCATTTTAGCTGCAGTGAAATTAATTGATTGTGTACTTTGTTTTTTTTTTTTTTTTTTTTTCTGTTGTGATAAATGCAGTACAAATTTTCCTTTGACTCTTCCCTGTGCCTCACTACTTCTAACCACATTTGTACCAACAACAGTGTTGACACAGGCCTAGTTACCTGTGACATACATTACAAGCAAGACAGCCTGCTGCAAACACAAGACGAACTTAGAGATGGAGACCAGGCATTTCATACTGAACCTGGCTATGAATGAACTTTGCAAAAAAGCAACAAATCACACAAAAAACCCACACTGAAGAATTTTCAGCCGTGCAGAATGGCGTATTTAAAAGAGGTGTAGGTGTGGCATTTGGGGACAGGGTTTAGTGGTGGGCTTGGCAGTACTGATTTAATGGTTGGATTTGATGGTCATGGAGGTGTTTTCCAGCCTCAATTATTCTGTGGTCTCTGTGTTCTGTCTCTGCACTTCACAGGCTGAACAGCAGAACCCACCACAACCTGGAGTACAGCAGAACTCAGAGAGAAACTTCCTTATAACTGGTTTTTGGGGCAGATCTGATATTGGACAGCAAACACACAGAGAAAATCACAGGTTTTACCTCTACACAGAAAGCACTTTTTCTTTTTTTTTTTTTTTTTTTTTTCAAATGAAAGTAGAAAACTGTGGTTACAATAAAGAAAAACAGGCAAACAAGGGCCACTAGTTCACATACCACACCAAACAGCTCCCTCTTTAACCAACAGAACCAGGAAAAACAAGCCATACGTAATAAATCCTTGCTGCATTTTTCAATGAACTAACAAGAGGAATTCAGTGAGAAGAAGGAAAGAAACACCTCTATATACTCAATGTAGTAATGCACAAATAGGCATAAAAGACTGCCCCAAAATATTCTGAAGTTCTGTGCTTCCCTTTGTGGCATTTAATAAATGACTAGAGATCACACAAATATTTCAAAAAGTAAAAATTTCCATGTCATTTTTACCACAGGCATTAGAAGTATAAACTGTTAAGTATATAAAGATAACCTTTACACATATCTACTTTTAATTGTGTAGCAAGTTTTATAAGCCGTAGTATATTATATTCCCTCTTAAAATTAAAATAGTTCTAGCAAAATATCAAATATTATGAGGCACTCTGCTGTAATTAAGTTTTTATGAAATGCAAGTGCAAAAAAAAAAAATCCTCAGCACAAAATCAGTCTTATTTCTGACAATGCAGGGCATCTTGCCTTTATAATTTCTGTTTTTCAGTGCTTTAACATAAAAATATTAGAATTTAATTTGGAGACAATCTTCATGGCACAGTACATTTCTGTTTCCCAACAAAGATTCTTCATTTGTTCATTCCCCAGGATTCTGCTGTCTGGCCATGACCTACTCCATGGCTTCTAAGCGGCTTGGTTTTCCGATAGCTGATTCACCACCAATTTTGTACTTTTCAGCAAAATAATCAGAGTCAAAACTCACAGACAAATCTGGAGGATTCACATAAACATTTCCATTGTGTATTGTGACCTTATGAATCCTTTGTTTGACTCCTTTTGACTGCCACTTTGGTGTTGGTGATGGCTCCTGAGGATTTATTCCTTCATACAATCCTTCTCCTGTTTCCAAGGTAATTTTAAACTTATGCCAAGGACAAACAATACATGCTTGTCCATCGATATCCTGCAGGAATAATAATAATAAGAAGAAAAGATAGCAAGTCATCTTCTAGGATAAAAGGTATGTTTGGCTGTATGACTGTCTGAAGTTATGTGTATATGACTGGTTTTTTCTGTATGATGTTCAGATTAAAGCATTACAAAAAATCCAATAGAGTTTTCACATGACTCTATGCCTCTGCATTATTTTTATTTTGCTTACATACCTCTATTTCTCCATGACATAAAGGGCCTCCTTCATCTGAAAAAGGAAAGAATACCATATTATTTTATGCAGCAGATTTTACGCTTAATTCTAACACTGAGATCACACAGGCAAATATCTTACGGTAGCAGCGAGAATCCAGAGCATGAAATTTCCCCTCATGGTAGAAAACAACAATTTCTCTGCCATCGATTTTGGCTGTGATTCTTTGAGATTTCTTTATGTCCTCTTCTTTGCCAATGAATATAAGACCATGTGGCTCCATTTCAGCTCCTCCTGTGCTTGAGCTGTGTGAATCCACATCCTTAAAACGCACGGGCAAATAAATGAAAAGGTCACTTACAAAGCAATTCACATTGGATTTCATGTGAGGAGAGGGAGAAAAGGTTTCAGTGAAAGACTATCAACATGCAGAGTTAGAAAAGCACAAGAGCTTGGTGATGTTAGCGTGTTCACTAACAGAACTGACAGGACAAGGAAAACCAGCTGCTGGAAACCAGATACCAGGCAAGATAAACTCTCAATCACTATTAGTTTACTCTGCACCTAAACCACTTTCACCCCTCAAAACCCACGTGCAAACAAATATAAGGATGGCAAATGTAAAATACTATACAGTTCAGGTATGCAACGGGTAACATTTACATGTAAATAAAATACTTTTACATAATAGTATGACTAGAAATTTAAAGTATTAAAATTCTGCAAAGGAAAGAAAACATTTTTTATTGAGAAGCAGTATTCAACCTGACATTTCTAGCAAATGTTCCTGCCTTTCCTTCCCTCCTCTTACATATTTCAAACATATAACAGACTCTTCCTCTCACAAGAGAGAATATAAGCAGTTTTATGAAAGCAACCTTCCCTTTGAATTTACTTGCAATTAGCTGCTGTGTTCCCGTTCTTCCCAAATGCCCAATACAACCTTGGATCCTCAGAAAAATAATGTTAAACCAGGTCTTCATAAACACAGAAAGGGGAACCATGGATTGGGGGAGGATGGGGTTTCTCTCTGGCTGCAGGGGGCTGCACTGTACCTTTGGTCCATACCAGATTGCAATGGAGATGAGAAAGCAGATGAAGAAATGAACGGTGAGGATGATGAGGTCGAACATCGTCTCCCTTCACGGTCTGTCACCACTGCCCTGCCTTGTCCCCATATGTCACAAGGTGCTTCTCAGCCCCTTTAAGTGCAAGCAGGAGGCAACGGGGCCAGGCCCTGCAGCTCCCTGTGGCGGGGCTTTAGAGGCGCAACGCATCAGAAACCGGCTCTGCCAGGGCTGATAAGAGCCAGGGACACGCTGGGGCTGGCCTGATAAGAGAAGAGCAGAGAGAGCTTCCAGTTCCCCTTGCTGCTGTCCTCACCATGAGCCCAGTACTGCTGCCTGCTCCCAAAACCCTGCTCGGAGCCACATATGACCTGTCTTCAGGATCAGCAAATGCAGGTTTCCTTTTAAGCCACCGTGCTGGGAAGACCGGTTTAAGTGCCAGTGTGGCGTTTCCAAGACCACTTGTTAACTGATCTGTACGTGATGAACTGTTCAGGCCAACTCCCTGCTTTCCAGTGGAAGGAACTGCCGCCCAGCCTTACCCAGAAAGTGAAACGTCACTGCTAGGCTCACAGAATGATCATTCACATAGTTTTTTCAGGAGATAAGCAAGCTAACCACAGGAACCAGAGTAGGAAATCGCCAGTTTTTGCTATCACCTTTTGGCTGACTCTCCCTATAAACTTTCCAAATTGGCAAAGATACTAAAATGCAGAAGCCTGTAGTTAAAACCTCTCTTATTATGACACCTGTAGAAAACCCTGTGTATATAAATGCGTACTTCTGTAGAAAAAGAAACAGACCCACACATATATATTTGTGTACATATCAGTTTGTATCTCCCAACCAGTATTAGAATACAACTAACCTCCAGCTCGTTTAGATGACTTACACTCAGCTTGGATCTTTCACAAATAAATTATCCAGGCTCCCATTCTGAAACCTGACTGAGACCATCAGCAGCACTTCCGGGACCCTGAGTGGCCTAATTGTGGAAGCAATCAGTAGTCAAAAAGTTTCTTTCACAGCTGATATTCGCACGTTTATCTACAAACGAATGTAGACTAAGGACTACAGTAGCACATCAGGGGCCCTCCCAAAGAAAACTCTCAAGGCAACTTTCTTCCCTTAGATAAGAGGAAACAGGTCACATCGCCTCCTCACAGATCCTAAGGCAGAATCCTGAGCTACCGGAGCAACTCCCGAGTCGTGGAAGTGAGCACACTTCAGTCAGTAAGAGTAAAGGTTATTTCCAGGCTTATGCGGAGTGAAGAATCAGAGTGCATTTTATTAACTGCATTCACTGCAGTTAGTAAAACAGTTGCCTCTTGTGTCTTACACACACCACTCCTTTAAGTCATACCCACACGTCACTCCTTTCCTTTTTCACCACATCATGTGGTTGGCTAATGCTCTGTTTCAATTTCTCTGAAATTTCCAGGCTTATGTGGAGTGTTAGCCTTCAGTTTTTCCCTGATATAACTGATATATAACAGTTTTTCCCTGATATTTTTTTAGGAGTTCGGCTGCTTCGATATTTTCTGAGTCACTGCAGACACACGGACGGAATTGTCCCTGCTGCCAAGTGCCACCTGGTGGGAACGGCAAAGAGGTTTGCCAGCTGCGTGAAGGGTCCTTCTCCAGCTGGAAACAGAGCTCGATTTGTCAATTGTAGTAATTCACTGCTGTACCCTGCTCTGAATAAATTTTCCCCCTTTTGGGTAAAAGGGAAAATACCCCTGCCACGGGGCACTTTTTTTTTTCTTTTTCCCTTTCCCCCGCTATGTTTCCGTGTCATACTTAAAGAAGCAGGTAAGATCAGCAGGATGGCAGTTGCTACACAAATTGCCCGGATGTTATTTTCATTCAGAACCCAAGCTTTTGTTATCATTTACATAGCCTTACCAATATTTTGGTCGTATTTGTGTATTTTGGAATACCTCAAATTTAGAAACAAAATTGGCCAGGATTTTTTTTTTTTTCTGGTCTTGTTGTTGTTGGGGTTTTTTTGGTGGTTGCTGTTGTTTAAACCCACCAGAACAGTGTGGATGTGACCATTTCATTTCAAGTAGTTAATTAAGTAATTAGCTGCGCAGACTGAATAGGGGACTGTAACAGGCACACTGCCATGGGATGTATATGTCTAAAACGTGCCCTGCTTGTGTCAAAAGGCTTCTAAAACATTGTTATAGTTATTCCTGCCTAGCGTGCTTTAAGGCAGAGCAGTGAAGGAATATTGCTCTGAGACTGTGTCCTCCTCATTTAGCTCTGTTGCTGTTCATAAGATTTTTCACTGCGCTCACGGAACCATCTGATTTTTTTCTTTTTTTTGGTGTCATTTTGACATTAAAAATAAAACATGCACTTTTCTGTGATGGGAGAGCTCTGTTTCTGTGCAGTCAGGCAAGAGCAACCTGCAGTGTTTACAGCTGGTATCAAATGTGTTATCAAAACCTTCAGCACGCTGATGACAGCTCATTTGTACGAAAATGATTGACAAACCAAAGCAGGTGACATCAAAAGCTTGGTGGCTGCTTTTTTAGTAATAATGTTGAAGCCTAAATCATCCCCCCAGACAGAAAGAGGCTGTAAAGCACATTCCCAAGGCGCTTGTGCCAGCCTCCCAACCTCGTGCAGGATCACATCTACTTTGGCCATTCCTGACAAATACTTTGAACTTAATTCCAGTGGCAGAGTTTAGCTTGGCAGGCTGTTCTCATTTTTAAACACTTGGAGTTCTTCATGCTTTTTTCTCCAAATTGATCATCTGAAGAGGCCTGCCTGAAAACCAAAATGATTTCTTTTTCCTGCTCTTGGTGGCAGCATTTTCCATGCTGTGAAGCCTTAGTGACTGCAGAGGACTCCTCAAGGTTCCTCTGACAGCTGACACAATTCACAGGTCCCTTGTTTATATTGTTTTCCTCCAAATGCTCTCATCTTTTTATGATCCTTCTTAAAAAATAAAGTCACAAAGTGGAGTCAATACATTGAGCATTCACTGCAGTTAGTAAAAGAGTTGCCGCTTGTTTCTTACAAACACCACTCCTTTAAGTCATACCCACACGTCACTCCTTTCCTTTTTCACCGCATCATGTGGTTGCCTCTGTTTCAATTTCTCAGAAATTTCCAGGCATATTGCATGTTTTTTGAACTGCATAAATGCAGCCCAGACAGGTTTTTTTGTTCACCATTTTAATGTTTTCCCCCTTCCTTTTTATTTTGACTTCAACTAGTCCATAATTATTTTACCTGATTGATTTTGGATATTTTTTTCCTGCTAATCAAGACTCCTTTGGATTTTAGCCTATCCTGAGGAGAACTGGTGACTCTCCCAGGATGCATTTTCTCAAGCTTAGCAAGAAAAGAGTGCATACTCTTGCATTCAATTACTTCCCAAAAAATTACCATACAGCACTACATTGAATTCTTGCAGACCAATTATATTATTTGGGAAAAAGGTACAAAGTAAAAACCAAGAGTTTTAAAACTCATTATGTATATAAGTATTTGATATAAATAGTTGGAAGACAAAGCTATTCAGATTTTATGTCCTATTTTCAACTGGATAACTGACTGCAAATATTTGAGAAGAGACAAGCAGATAAATCTTTTGTTCTGCTTTTAGAAAATGAAAGTGGAACAATATGGGATTTTTCACTGGCTTTCACTGCCAGAAGTGCAGTTTTATCTCCTACTCCATGTTCTCTCCAGAAACTGCAGTTTACGCACGACAGTTCTGACACAACAAATTTTGCAGTCTGTATTGCAAAGAATGTTTTCCTGAGAAGTAGCTTAAAAGACCCCAGATAAACCTTCAACAGTGACTTATCTAATGTTTAGTTTCAATATGATTCATCTCCTACATGTTTTATCACAGGTCACTTCAAAAATTTGCTATTAATGTTAATTTCCGTGTGTGTTTAGGTAATGTCAGTCTTATTTCTTTAATTCTCTGTCTCATAATGAGTGCCTGCATATCCAAGGAGGTAAGAACTGCATGCATTATAATATCTTACTATGTTATTACATATTATCCTGTTTGTCCAGATCAATGGTACTCCTATATGGAGCCTTTATCACAATTCTTCCACATGACCCTTCACAATGGAAGTTTCTTTGATAAGCTAATGAACCTGCCATCCTTTAATGGTTAATATTATTCCTGGATAATATTTGCACTATCATTTCTATAGTAAACTGTTAGGCATGACTGCTAGCAAAGATTGTTTGCATCTAAACCTCCTTTTTTAACAACAAATAATTCTGAATCTAATAATTCCCTGTAGTTGTGTTGATGACAGTAACAGCAATAAGGAAATTGTTTTTGTAAGAAGCCAAACATCTCACAAAGCTGAAAATATATCATGTGCCACAAGAAAAATATACTTTCAAAATATTTCTCCCAACTTCGGCACCAGTGAGGGAGTGTGCAAACCCCAGGGAATCCTGGTTTCCAATTCTAGAGTGTTGGAAATTCCCCTCTGTGCACAGAAGGCAGAGCCCAAAGCCTTCAGTCCAGATTAATGTACAGTCACAATGAGATGCACAGGCCTGGCTTCCAGTGACGTGTGGAGGGGACTGAACAACAACCATTAAAAATGTCAAAAGGCAAGGATGCACCATAGGTAAAGCTTTTATCATCACTTTTTTGTTGTTTTTAGCATAACTACTAACAGTGATTTCAACAGCAGCAAAACATCAGGAGGCCTGACACTACATTCAGGGTGAAGGACTTCTGGCAGTATCCACCTTATATATAATCAGTGGAAGTTTCTCCTTCCCGTGCCTACATCCCTATAGAAGCCTTTAGTTCCTGTTAGGAGATTTTTTTTTCCCTTCATAACATTTAGAAGAGTAATTAAGTGTCTTTTCAATTATTTTATGATTTTAACATTGCTGAAAAAACCTAGCTTAATGCAAGAATCTCATATTAGAATGCAAGGAAGTTCTTGTTCTTTCAAACCAAGAAATAAAACTACTGTAAATTAAGAACAATTTGCATTATCATTTTTATGTATGAAGACCTTACTGCAAACTAGGAAGAATTCTGAATGCCCAATTAATTATTTCTTCTAAACTGTCAATAATTTGGTGCTATGGAAAACTTCAAGAGTAACCTTACTGTTTCATCCATTCACAACTGCACATCATCCTTGCACTAAAATTTTTCTCTCTCTCCAGCTCCGCTTTGCCAGTCTGTCCCACTCATAACTATTTCCATAATTTCAGTCAATACTTGGTCCTCTTGTCAGTTCTTCAGTTAGTTCCTTAGTTCCTCTTGCATGAATCACGTAAAACATGTCATGTATTACTGCATTTACTGTGCCTCTGTGAGTTATTGTGCCTCTCTTCTTGTTACTACTTTTCAGAGTGCTCTGACTTCATCTTCAAAAGATTCAAAAGCTATCCAGTTATTTATCTAATAGACTGGGTAAGCAACATCCATATGACTTATTCCCAGGCCTTTTTTTCTTTCCCTCCCGCCAAAGACTAGTCTGTAATTTTATTTATTTATTTTTTTTTAAATCAGA